TGTGGCAGCTATGTTCTTTAGAATCAACACTGCACATAATAGAAACACCGCCACCCGACCCCACCCCCATCCATCTTCCCTCTCTCCACCCCCCCTTTTTCTTCTCTCTTTCTTTTTTCTTCTCCCCCTAATGCATCAACAAATGAAATGGATTTGTAAAAATGTTACATGAAAAAAACAAAAAACGAGGCACTACACTTCTGTAAAACAAGAAAATCCTTAATAAAATATTAAAAAAAAAAAAAGAATCAACACTGCAGCGGATCTAGAGGGTCTAGGCTACTGACGCAGTCACAGTGCTGATCAGTTTAGTACAATAGAAACGAATAGTTCAAGTGACTTGGGTGTGCTGATTTCAACTCCACCCCTTTTGAATTTCTGTTCAGGTTTCCTGGTGGCTCTATGTCTTAAAAGTGGATGTGTGGAGTGGGGAAAAGGCTAGTGGCAGCTGGTCTGAAAGTGGCTGGCTTTGAGAAGTGACAATTTGGTTATCCATATGTCATCATTGTATTAAAATACATTAATGCAGTGTTTCCCAACCTTTTTTGGGCAAAGGCACACTTGTTTCATGAAAAAAATCTCGAGGCACACCACCATTACAGCCCCGTGACGTCAGCGCGCAGCGTCACGCCGGGAGGGACATGAATTGCTAGCAAATTACATAATCACCTCCTTGAGGGCTGGCTCATCTTCTCCGAAGGCAGAACCCCATTAATTAACAGCACAGACTCACACCATAGCCAAGACGAGGGGGGGAAACCTCAGTCATGCACAGTCATGCACATGTGGGGGCTAAATGAGGACGAAGACCGGGCAGAGAGCAGGGTTCAAATCACCCCACCTGGCCAGGACAATCCCTGGGTGCTCCCTTGGGCCACTCGTCTGACCCACCTCGCAGGGCTGTTGTTGCGAGGATAACACGGGGAGAACCACGCGCGCCCCCGGGAGCTCCTTGGAGGAGAAAGCGGGCGATGAATGCAATGCATGAAATATATGAGAGGCGACCAGGTTTTGCAGGTGAGGGGCCCCCGCCAGCCTCCGCTTCCAACACCCGGCGCAACGACGCCGAAGTTTCCCCCCGGGCTCGGCTCGGGGAGCAGCGCTGCTCCCCCCCGGCTCCCCTTCGCCCTCCCGGCTCTCTCTGCCGCCCACTGGGGACCCCCCTCACCTGCCAAGTCCGGAGCGCCGGTGGAAGTTGCATGCATGCATGCAGGGCGCCGCGTTGCCATTGCATTGCACTGCACTCCATGCAACGCCTGCACGCATGCATTGCCTTGCACGCCCGCCAAGGGGTCTCCCCGCGGTCCGATGCGTCTCCTCCGGCGCGGATGCAGCATTGCAAAAATAAAAAACCCCCGACGCAGCCCTACCTGGGGGGCAGCCTCCGCCTCCGCGGGGATCCCCGGGCTCCATCCTGCCGCCCGATCTCCGGGGGGCGCAGGCAGGCTGCGCGGGGGCTGCGCGGAAGAGCCCCTGCCGGCCCGGCCGCCGCCGCTGCGCTCATTTCATGGCCGGGAGAAGAGCGCTTCAAACAAAACGCCAGGCCACGCTGGGAAACGTAGTTCGCGCACCCCGCGCGGGCGCGGAGCCCAAGGGCGAGGGGACTACGGATCCCGGCAGCCCCCACGCCGGGGACGGAGGGGGAGAGGCCGGGTGCAGGGATGGAGGGACGGGTGGGCGAGTGAGTGAGTGAGTGAGTGGCAGCCGCCAAGCCTTGGCCGAGAGCCAGGAAGGGCCTCCCCGGAGGAGGAGGAGGAGGGAGGCGCAGAGCGGGAGGGAGGGAGGGAACCCCAGGGGTCATCTAGTGACGGCGCCCCAATCAAAAATTTGACTTTAAAAAAAAAATCTTTCAATTTTTTAATTTTTCCCGCGGCACACCAGGCAACATCTCGCGGCACACTAGTGTGCCGCGGAACAGTGGTTGGGAAACACTGCATTAATGAAGCAATATCATAACAGTAGAACTTGAAAAATCTTGAGTCCTCAATTGATCAGGTGCATAGATATCTGGGCCTAGCATCTAGGCTTTGAAACATGTTGCCAGTCCTAGATCCTAGAAATACTGTATTTACTCGAGTCTAATGCGCCATCAAATCTAACGCACACCTCAATTTTCAGAACCTTGAAACCAAAAAATGTATTTGCTGGCGAATGTAAATTTGCCATCGAATCTAATGCGCACCTTAATTTTCACAACATAATTTGGCCAAAAAAGGTGAGCATTAGATTCCAGTAAATACCATATGTCTTAGTAAGTGTGAAATGAATGTAGTGTTTTGTACTAAGTGCTTCCTGTTTGCCATCCATTTACATATTGTACTTGCTACTGGAATCAAATCATTATGAAATAAATAGCTGCATAAAAAGCTATTTAGGCATAATGTCATGCATTTCAAAGAATGCTTGAATGTATTCTGATCTGTTGCTTGCAAGAGGAAGGCTAGAAAGGTTTGCACTGTGACATATGGATGCCTTTTATTATTAAGTTTTCTGAAACTGAGCAACAGAAGAGCTGCCTTGGTATAAAGCTGCAGAGAAGCATATTTATGTTATATTGAAGACAATTCTGGGGATTTGGGGGACAAAAGACGACTTCATAAAAGAAGACTTTTCAAATTCGGGGAATACTGTATTATGGCTCATTTGATTTCTGGGAGCTATCAAGGGTATATCCAGAGTGTTGCTCTTGATGGGACAGCTTCCTCTGAAGAAGCCAGTACATAGCTTGGGAGTACTTCTGGATCCTTTGTTGTCACTTGAGGCTCCATGGCCTTCCATCAGCTGTGCTCATATCTGGACAGGGACAGCAGAACTTCTGTCATCTAGGCTCTGGTAACCTCTAGGTTAGATTGCTGTAATGCACTGTGCTTGGGGCTCCCTTTGAAGCCAGTTCGGAAACTTCAGCTGGTGCAGAATTTGGTGGCCAGGTTGCTCATTGGGGCAAGACGGTTTCACCGATCCTGACCCGAATGCACTGGCTGCCAATTAGTTTCTAGGCCCAGTTCAAAGTGCTGGTTTTGACCTATAAAGCCCTAAATGACTCAGGGCCACAATACCTCAAGGACTGTCTGTCATCATATGAATTGATTTGGACCCTGTGATCATCATCTGATGCCCTTCCTCGTGTTCCTCTCCTACGAGAGATCCGGGGGTGGCAACATGAGAATGAGTGTTTTCCGCAGTAGCTCCCCATTTGTGAAATGCCCCCAAGGAGGCTTATCTGGTGTCTTCATTGCATATATTTTGGTGCCAGGCAAAAATGTTTCTCTATAACCAGGCCTTTGACTAATTTGCATTCTGTGGCCTTTTAAATGTATTTGTGGGAAGGCGATAATTGGTTTTTTGTTTTTATTATGTATTCCATATGTTTTATCTTGCATTTTTATGTTGTGAACTGCCCTAAGATCTATGGATGAAGGGCATTACACAAATAATAATAATAATAATAATAATAATAATAATAATACACCTTCATTGGGTTTGAACAAATGTCATCTGCAGTTTTCAAGGGTTTATATAGGAATGTCTAGAGATTATTTATTTGTAGGGGTGAATCAGTTGGGACGCACCTCATCTGTCTTATTGGTTCATTTTTACAAGGAACAAATAACTAAAAATATTTGGCTCAGTTTCCAGCTGGACATGATCATTGGTCCATTTGACAGAAAATGGATTTCAGCTTGCTGGTACTGATAGAATAACAACAGGGAAAAGTGGCTGTATTTACTTTCAAGGTGGTGAAATTGCAGAAATCTTAAATGGAAACGGAAGGTATAGATTGCTACAAGGATAAAAAGAATCATATTTTGTGTGTTAGGACTGCATTTTATGGATATTAGGAATACCAATACATCTAAATTGGTGCTATGGTGTCCTTATGACATTCTTATTTCTATTAGGTCAAGACAATAAATATACACGCAGATGGCAACATTTGGGAACTGGGCTGCTTGTTGCTTAGCAGCATATTTTGAAGGGAGAGTAAGAATATGAGTATAGAACAAATTCTATGTTCAGTTTACACAGGTCTGTTTAAAGAGAATATTCCTTCTTATGACAAGCTGTAAATGGAAACGCCATGTGAAGCTAAGAGGCTAGGTACATCATTCAAGTATATTTTATGTACAAAAGAAAATAGATTGCAGCTTTTAGGTCTTGTCCATGGAGCGTGGAGGACAGGGTGCAAATGGATTGTGCTGTGACTTGAAATGGCCTTTCTGGAAACAAAAGACTGGTGTGCACATGCCGTGAGCTATGTGTGATAATCCACTTGGCTCAAAAGAAGAGCCTATCTAGTCCAGCATTCTGTTCTTACAGTGCCCAAACAGATGCCTAGCAGAAGCCTGCAAGTGGGACAGGAGGGCAATTGCACTCTCATATTCTGCAAGTTGGGATTTGGCATTCATATGTCATCTGATGTACATAACTGTTTTCCCTTGTACATATTCTAAAGTGGGAATAAAGAGTCATTGTGGATCAAATAAAGAAGTCCCCAAAGATATTTTGATAACCAGACCTAATTTTACATCTTTTCAGTACAATTGACATAAACTGATGTTTTTGTTGCTGTTTGAGTGTGTGTGTGTATCATATACATTATTTCAGGTTGTTAAATATTTAGACGTTGGCTGCTCTGGGTTTTTTGTTTGTTTTGCTTCTGTTCTTTTGCTTTGTTTTATGATTTGGTGCTGAGTCGCTTGCTGAAAATGGCAGTAGTGGTGCTGAAGCTAGCAATGGATTTCCAAATTGTCAAGGAGAGGTCTTTTCCACCTCTGGAACCTAATCACCTGTTAATTAGCTATCAAATCTGACTCATTCTGCACACAAAGCATTTGCTATTCTTCTACATGATGGTCCCTCCTTGTTAAGATCCTTACTAATTCAGAAAAAAGATTTAAAGGAGATTTGAACAAGCATAAGGCATTTTGTTTTGTTTTAACAAGTTTGCATTTCCTATCTAGGGAAAAAAATCCCTGAAACTTGTCATCTTACTTTCAAAGGTCTGTTGGAAAGGCAAGTATTACATGAAGTAGATGAAGACATGGTCACTGATGTTGATTTTACCAACATGATTTCTGAAGAAGAGCAAGAAGAATTAAAAGCTGAACTTGTCAAGGTAACATTCTTTGTCTCCTGAATCTGTCATCTTAAACTAAGGGCTGGTTTTGGAAATCACAGCTGACGCCAATCTTTTCCCATGCAATTCTCCTTGGGCACATTGCTATAAAAGCAATTGCATGAATTTCTTACCAATACCATGACTGTATGCCTTACCGCCATATGTGTGAAGTGGTTCCTGCATGGATTGAGCAGAGTTCAAACTTTTTCTAATAAAATGTAATTGGAGGCAGGGCAATAACTAGCCAGGTAGTTCTTTACCTTAAACAGGAACATTCTTGCATATGGATTCATTGAGAACGTAACCAATGCAATAGAATGGATAGTGTGCCAAAATTTGGGGTGCCCAGTCCAGCCATGAAGTGCTTCGGGCAACTTTCATGTATCAGTTTTTTCTGTCATACAGTTTGTGTAATAGAATAAAATGGAGTGTTTCCGTGTTTCCACGTATGTCACTCGAGTTATTTGAAGAAAGAGCTTGGATATAAATGTGATCAATAAAATAACATTAAACTCATCAGTTAAAAATATACAAATGAGGTTTCTTTGATTAATATACAGTAATACTTTGAAAATAATGTATTTGTTCTTTCATTTTTATGTCTCCACCACCCCTTTTGGAGTCATAAAAGCAGGCATAAATTATTTTGTGTTTCACTTTTGTAAGTCTTTGTCCCCCAGTCTTTCCTTTTCAGTGATGTGGGCAGAGGTTAAGGCCTTCATCCTCCAGGCACATCCCACAATACGTATTGTTTGTAGTCACAGCAGTTAATGGAATCTAGGTCAGCTCAGATCACAAGACTGTCCTAAATTGTTCACAGCAATCAAATGGTATATAATGACATTGTTCAAAGGAAATGCATTGGGGATTTGCATTTTGAAATGCTTGGAATTTTTCAGAATTTACTAAGTTTCTGGAGCTCTAATGAAATCATTCTATTTGGAGTGGCTGCTGTACTTCCAATGGGAGTAGTTTGCCTACTGGTTTTCAGTGCCTTTGAAAATATTTCCCTGTATCATTGCCTTAAAAGCCTTAGAACTGTCACATTCCCATTTTAAGATTTTCCCCAAAGCCATGATTCCCCACTTCCCAATTGTATTGCAGTTCCCAACTGCATTTTCCCAATTGTATTGTTTCTTGAATAATCCACAAAGTGTACAGTGAATGTGAAGATTTTCATGGATGTTAAGGAACATATAATTCAACATATAATTCATATAATTCAAAATGTAGTAGCTTCTGAGGGGAGATAATTTATAACTTATTGCTGTGTATATAGCTGATACCTTCTGTGCAGTTAGTTCTCCATGAAAACGTAGGTTCTGCAACTTAATATTCATATGTATAAATTGTACTTAATGCCCAAATGACAGCAAAGTTGCTCATCTTAATTCTGTTAAAAATAGCCCAGTCCAGAAAGGCCTATCTGTGTATGGAATTAATATTTTTCACATCATAAGATAAATATGTCTCTGAAGAGACTACCTTGGAGAATTACAATTTGAAAATGAAACTAAACGTTGTATAATCCACCGCAATGTTTCATTTAATGAGACATTTGCAATAATAGAAAAGTAGCTGAAGATGTTTATTTCTTTAAACTGGGACTAATCAGTTTTTCCAAGTCCAGTAAAAACAACGTGAAGTGACTGTTGTACCCACCCAAGCCCATCTGTGTTGTACTCCTCCCAATTTACAACCTGACTATTCTGCTTTACATAATCAGATGAAATGTAAGGCTATATTTAACTTAATTGGTTTTATTATAATGACACAAGGAAAATAGCTTTCTCTTTGCCAGCATGTTTTTTAACTAGGCTGCTTTTTCTGTCTCTTCTGGGTTATACTGATGGGAGCCATTTTTATTTTACATACACTGCCTCTCCTTAAAGGCACAAATTACTTCCTAACCATCTGTTCAGTACATATGTACATACAGATCCTTGTGCATGACATTGTGCAGCTCATTGCCTGACAAACTTTAAGTTTGAGCCATTATGGCTAATAAATCCAGAAATGAGCAGGCAAACACATTGCTCCTAACTTGTTTTCTGGCCTGGCCATTTCTGTCTTTTATTATATTTGTAGATTTTGGTAGTCCATAGGTCAATGAGAAAAGCAGTGGAATACATGTGAGATTATTTTGACGCCACTTTATTAGGTCTAAAGATTCAAATACCATGGCATTTTTGTACTTGAAGAAGTTGTTTCACCTAAAACCATTTTACGTTTATCATGAAGAGGAATAATGCAGACTTTTCGTCTGTTAATTCTATTAAGCTTGAAGATGAAATTGCAACTTTGCGACAAGTGTTGGCAGCAAAAGAGAAGCATCTTGTGGAAATAAAACAAAAGCTTGGCATCAACCTGATGAATGAACTGAAACAGAACTTCAGCAAGGGCTGGCATGATGTGCAAACTACAACTGCGTAAGTAAAAACCTTCTGCACACCCTTTTCCTTTGTACTTCTCTCATTATGAAAGCAGCATGGTGCAATGGCTAATGTATTGGACTTTGTTTAAAGTGACCTGTGTTCCAACTCCCATTGGGCTTTGAAGCTCACTGCATTGCCTTTGTCCCCATCCTTGCTGAAGATAAAACTGAAAGCCAGTTAATGTGCCACCCTTAACTCTTTGGAGATGATATGGAATACACACGTGGCAAATAATTCAGTACATTTAGTCAAAAGCCATTTTGTTATTGCCATTGCTGTCTCCAGTAATTTGAACTCTATTTAAATGCACCTTCAAGGGGTCACTTTGCATGCTTTATTCTACAGGTAGCATACATGATTTTTATTTTCTTGCCACCTGACTTCCTTTGCTTTTTTATGAATGGTTCAGGTGCCTTTTTTTTTTTTTTTTTTGCAGTCAACACAGAGAAGTGGGCTGTGTGAAGGTATCCTGATGTGCAATGGACTCTGCAGCCACCATGCTTTGTATGCTTATGACAAGTGGAAGTGGCTCTTTTCTAAAATAACTGCAGTAGTAGGACACCACCATGTTAACATGGTGGCCATTGTTGTTGAACTACTTTGTGTGGATGATGGCAGGGGCAGACTTTGCTAATATGGCACCCTGAGTGAGGACAAAATTTGGTGCACACACACACCACATAAATGACATTGTTGTTGTTGTTACTATAACAATTAGTGTCTCCTCAGTTGGGTGCTCTATGCAGAGGAACTGCCCATGCTACCATAAATCCAGCGTTAATGATGGTCACTGCTGACATGATGGAGCTGGCATTCTTTCTATTCACAACGGACATAAAGATATATTGGTCACAGCACACTGGAGCCCTTCCAAGGATGGAAACTATGCATGGTACAGCATTCAACTAAGTTTTATGCAGTGTGGACCCATTGGAATTAAAGAACACAATTATGTCCATTGATTTCATTGCATCTAACCTGAATAAAATTCAGCTGACTATTTTGCACAAGGAAAAGAACTCAACAGAGAGAGAACTTTAGTTGCAGTCATCTTCATTCTAACAATAGAAAAAATTCCTAAACTGGCTTAAAGAAAATAAGCAGTAACGTTTTTTCATTGGTTTCTACTGTGATGGTTGTACCAGCTGCATGTGCAAATCTGAATAGTTATTTTTTGAATGTCATTCTGTTTATTTATTATTTTATTTCGTAGTAGTAATGAAAATATGAGCAATATATTATTAATGGCATCTTTTAAAGGCTAGTACCTTAAATATATATCTCCAGGCAGAAAAGAAGGTGAACTGTGAAAATGCACACTCAGCAAATAGATTAGTAGCTGAATAGGTAGCCTCTGAATTTTAAAAAGCTTAGCAACCCTGATGAAGAATTCAAGCATAGCAAGTCAAAGAATGTTGCGTAAATCAGCCATGTGCATATTTAAGAGGATTGTGGTTGAAGCATTCTTTGCATTATCTGACTGTTAGAAGCAGCAAAACTATTTTGGATATGCACCTGTGGTCTAGATACTATCAAGGAACCCTAGAATAATAATTGCAGTGTTGCAAAATTACTGAAATGGCTTATCATTATTTGCCTACATATTACAGTTGTGTCCCCACCTTCCTCCAAGGAGCTCTGGTACATTTTATCCCTGCAACTCTGAAGTAGGTAAGGCTGTGAGATAGCAGTTTACCAGTGACCATCCATTGAGTGTAATGGCTTTGTGAGGATTTGAACCAGGTTTTCTTGATCAAAATTCCAACACTCTGCACAACTTGTGATCCATCAGGCTCAATGCCTCCCACCAGCCAGCACTGGTGGTCTGCCATTGACTTGACAATGCCTGTGCTGGTGTGCTTTGCAGTTCTAAGCAGGAAGAAAAAACATGAAATTTGGTGACCAAGGACTCTGTCCCAGTTATGCACCTTGCTGTTCACTTCTGTTTTGTGTATCTTGGAGCCATCCTAAATATTATGCAAAATGCAGTAGTAGAATTCTTCTCAACATTCTTGCTCATCAGACTGTAGAAGGGTAAAAATATTTTGAATGCTTCTTCACATACAGGTTTAATAGTAGTAGTAGTGATTTTGATTATTATTTATTGCCTGCCCTTTACCATAAGGTCCCAGGGTGGCTTACAGTATAAAAATGTATTAACTATAATAGGAACAAACTTTAGAGAGAAATATGCAGCAAAGTACTTTTAATGTTGGACACTTGTCTTTTCCTGTTGTATAAAGGTAAAGGTACCCCTGCCCGTACGGGCCAGTCTTGACAGACTCTAGGGTTGTGCGCCCATCTCACTTAAGAGGCCGGGGGCCAGCGCTGTCCGGAGACACTTCCGGGTCACGTGGCCAGCGTGACAAGCTGCATCTGGCGAGCCAGCGCAGCACACGGAAACGCCGTTTACCTTCCCGCCAGTAAGCGGTCCCTATTTATCTACTTGCACCCGAAGGTGCTTTCGAATTGCTAGGTTGGCAGGCACTGGGACCGAACAACGGGAGCGCACCCCGCCGCGGGGATTCGAACCGCCGACCTTTCGATCGGCAAGCCCTAGGCGCTGAGGCTTTTACCCACAGCGCCACCCGCGTCCCAAGCGCCACCCGCCATATCCTGTTGTATATGCCCTGGCAATTCTGGGTACATCCTGACATTATTATTATTTTATTTCTACCAATTTCTCTGCTATGGGTAAAGTAGTTTGTGTTTGGGCCATATAAAATACAGTTAACTCCCATATATGAATATTAGCATTTGGTAAGCTATTTTAAAACCACCCCCTTCTCTTCTGCTGTTCCTGCAAATGAGTTTAATGTACAGCAGTCACAGTTCTAATAGATTTCTGATTTGAACTGTATAAGAAGCAAATGCCTTGAACTTGAAGGGTACTTGCTTACACTGTAATAACTGTTAATTCTTAGATACAAGAAGACACAAGAGACTCTGAGTCAAGCAGGTCAAAAGGCAACAGCAGCTTTCAGCAATGTTGGAACAGTCATCAGCAAGAAGTTTGGAGATATGAGGTACAGACGTTTTGATTTAATTTCTGGGAGAAAATTAAATCCCACCCTCCCACAGTTCTTTAATTCCCAGCATTGCAAGATTTACATTGAATCCTGGCTAAGGCGACTTTTTCCTGTTTATCACAAAGGAACTAAATGATAGCTTATTAAGCTGTATTCCTGATTTAAATCCTGGCACATTACCAGAGAAACCAGGGAGATTACATGTTGGAATTCCATCTTCTAAATAATGCCATAAAATACATCAGCAGGGATACAACAACTGCATCCCCCTAATTGTTTTGAAGAGTGAAGCATGCCTCGAAGCTATTCTTGAAACACAAATAAAGCAACTTTACTGTTCTATCAATTTCCCAAGGAACGTTAATAAAGACTTTTGTAAAACCATCCGTATCTCCCTTCATTGGCTCAAAAGATTGCTCTACACAAGGAAAGGTAGATTAGTTCAGAGATTCAAAGTATTCATTCCCAAAATGTAATCTTCTGGAAGAAGAAGCAATTGCTGATTATTCCCTTTGTAGGGTAGCAAAGGTCTCCCTGCTTGCAGGGGAGCAAGGCAACTGTGTCTGCTTCCTCACTTGCTGGAACTAACAGCAAATTTGTGGTATAGAGGGATTTACATTGGGAAAGAGGGTAGGAGGGTACAGGATAAAAGGTTAAACACATTTTTCCACAGAACCACCAATCTTCTGAATGCCTTGGGGTCATTAGTTAAGAAAAGAAAAAATAGCAAATTCTAATCCCGATTTAAGTTACATCTAGTTTGGCCTCTTTTCACTGACTTCACTGGAAAGCCTCGTTGTGACTTTAAAGGATTTTGGAGAGCATTCCTAGGGTTTCTGTAATTACAGGTGCAAGTGACTGAGTCTTCTATTTAATTGAATAGTGTGTTGCCATTTCTAACACCTTCATCCTCAACTGAAGGAAAACCAGTTATGAACTACATTTGCTTGTGTTGTCCCTTGCTGTCCTTGTCCTAGCCTTGTCCCCTTTTCCTCCTTTCTCTTCTGACTGCTTGCTCTTTGGGGTGTAGATAATTTATCTGTGTATACTCTTCTTCGACATAGGGTCCCTAGATGTTATTGGACTTACTCCCATCATCCCCAATAGACCAGCTTAGCTCGTGGTTGGAGATGATGGGAGTTGTAGTCCAAACTCATTTGAGGACCCAAGGTTGAAGAATACTGCTGTAATGCATAATAATGCGTACTGATGGTGCCATATAAATAATGAGTGAATAAGATGCTGAGATGCTGTTTGTACACAGTGTGTACATTGACGGACTACCCTTTGCTTCCATGTCATTTTAAGTTTTACTTTGGTTAGCACAAATCTTTGGTACTTGGTAGGTACTACAGAGAATCTTTTGTCTATTCAATACCACCACAAACAGACACCCATGCACATAAGCAAAAAACCCAGGAATGTGACATTAGGATATTTATTTTTCCCTATAGACTAAAAGCTAGAGTGCAACATTTTTATATGAATCATTTTTCTCTAGTATGAATAGTTTAAAATGCTTATTTCATGTTTGAATACCCCTTGCAGTAATAAAATAGGAAGAAATTGCAAACAGGGCTAGATCAGAAATGTTGTATTGTCTAAACGTACTGCATTAATAAGTTGCTTGATCACTGAAGAGCTTCTTGACAATAACAGTTACTGATTTAGGCATAACACTTGCTTTTTAAAGGGGATTATTTTCTGTTTCCTGTAAGGGAAATGTCCACAGTAGTTTGGAAGGAATTTGTGTGCCAGCCTCATTCTGCAGGAAAGCTGGAGGGCTGATTGCAGCTTGGTTACCAGGCTGGGAATTAAAAGATAAATTCAGGGCAGAAGCTATTTCTTATTATGTTGAATTGATTAGTGTTTCTTAACTTTCTTAACTTCGTTAAGTGTTTAGATGCTGTGGTCCTACAGAGCAATGCTGTGTCTTTAAGTTTGGGCTGTGCCACACGTACAAACATTGAGATAATTGCTCACTAATATTTGAAGTAAAAAGAGGTGCTAAATACTATCTATAGTACTTAAAATGTAGAAGCAAACAATTGCTTAATATTCTGTAGTGCAGTGCTCTGCATGTTAACTCAGTTCAGTGGGGCTTACTGCCAAACAAATGTGCACAGAATTGCAGTTATGTGTATGTGAATTATACAGGGTATACATTTTATTTCATGCCAAGCCCTCAGGCTGGGGTCTTCATCCATTGGAGCATCTTGTTATAAAACCTGATGAAGAGTGCTAATCAGGCCTGGGACATGGCAACTCATAGATCTGAATGCTCAGGAAGTACATATATTATTAAAATCAAAACAGCCGTCTTCTCTTCGCAATAATCCGTATCTAGAATTTAATAAAATCAGTATCTGGAATAGCATATACAACTATGAGTGCTAGATGCGGAGCTCCAGCACTGGGAGTTACACAGTCCCTCTTTGCATGTGTAGTTCCCACTACAGCTGAAAAATGGGAGTGCAGAATTCATTGGGTGGTTATAGTTTATATTTTACTATGCCCCTGATGTGTGGTAGAATTCTAATCACTAGACAGGTTAATGAAGACCAACCAGTTTTATGCTCGCCATGGTAAGCTGCCACTTGCCAAATGTCATCTGTACCTTCCATGTCTCTCTGTTTCATTACAGTACTGAATAAAGGTATCAAGAGAACAGCTCTATAAAGTTGTAGTCTAGAAAAGGAATATGCTTTTTAGTGACATATAAAAAATCAACAGTAAAAATGGAAGACAATTTACAAGATTTTATGGCACGATATTTACGTAGCAAGTTCAGGACTTGACCAAGCTTGCATGATCAGAGAATTCAGTTGATCTAATTTAAATTAGCAAGGTTTTGCCTTTTGGGTTGTGTTTCTCCAGTTAGCACATTCAGTTGTATTACATTTGCCAGGCTTGTGGTCCACCAGGGGCTGCTACTGAACTTCAGTTTATTAAAATGGAGTTTGCTTGAGATTCTCTTACCTTAATTGGAGGATTTTATTGAAAATAATAAAAAATTATTTACAAAAAAAGAGAGATTCTCGTATCTGTTTCACAGCAGCAGTACTTGATCAATTGCTCTTCATACAATAAACAATTCCCAGTGTTTCTAACTCACCCTTGTGTTTAATTTTGCTCTGTAATCCGATTTTATCAGCTGCAAGTAACTGGTCCCACTACCATTAAGTTGCATCTGTTCCAATTGATTTGATAGAGCTGAAATGCAGAAGTCCAGGGGTTGTAATTATTTGAAGCTTCTACTCCCTCTTCCCACTTGCATTATTTATTTAAAAAGAAATGATCATTATTTGGCCTACTGACCACTCTTCTTTTGGTATTAATTTAGTTTGAATGGATAATACATAGATATTCTATCCAGTGATCTTAAGACAGTCGTGAGTCAGGGCTATTCATGTTATGTTGTTCTGCCTGAATGCCATTGTGCCTGAAACAAAGGCTTCAGTAACAAACACAGATTGCTTAGAATCTCATGCTTAATTGACACAGCTCTTTGGTGGGCTAGTTTTCAAACTGGATTATGTGCTTATCTTCAAACCAATTTGAAATTGCAGCTGGTGACTTGTTGTGGAAGCAAGCTCAACATTTACAAACTTCACAGGTTTCCAAAGAGAGCATGAACAGTTAGCAACTTAACTCAATTTAAACATTTAAAATGTGTTCCATGTTCAGGATTTTGGGGGTGGGGGTGAGATCTGTAATTATACCAGTGCTTAACTCTTCTTAATTTTTTCCTTATGCTGCTGTTCCAGGTCACATTCACTTGGGTAAGATAAACGCATGTTGCTGCTGCATTTGGCATAGTCTGTTTTATGGAAAAGGACACAGCATGATTTCCTCCATTTGTGGTCCAAGATTAGAAACTTGAATTATTTCAACTGGGACATCTTGATTTTATAGTTTAATTAGGCAGTGAAGAAATTGCTGAAGATCCTGAAGAAAACCTTGGATAGAATTCAGAATGTTGTTAATGCGCTCCTGATTAGATTAGACCAAATTTCCCATAATGGAGGCTTTCAAAATGCATTTCTACCAAACAACAATCCTCCCTTCACCACTCAAGATTGAAACATAAGGACTAAACATTCAGTAAAATTGTTTTTTTATTGTTTCGCCGAGAGTGGGCATTATCATAGAACAATAATTAATTTCATCAATTGTTTGAATCCCAAAGTTTGATCTGTGAACCGCCCTAAGACCCCTAAGTTTCCCCTAGTAAGTTTCAGGATTGCTTTTTTCCAGGATGTAAGAGTGCCAGAAATTCTTACTTAAAAACTAAATTAGCCAGCAATTGTGAATTTATTTGTATTTGTCATTTTATAAAGTTTTATGTTTTCTCTCTTCCATGTTTTTCAATTGCAGTTACTCTATTCGCCATTCCATAAGTATGCCTGCTATGAGGTAAAAGTTCCACATCACCTTCTTATCCTGACCTTTGAATGTGTGTTTTCAGGCTTCACACTATTACTGTGACAGTAATTTGTTTTTAGTACTGAATTTTAAATTGTCGTAACCCTTTGGGATCAGCCTTCTAGTTCAAGTGTTTTTCATAGAGAAAGTAGGAAATTCAAATGTGGCACCATTGACCATTCTCTGTTGTTCACGTGTAGGTAGTCAGATTCCCAATCCACATTCTCATAGATTTCACTGAAATATATTTCCAAATAAGCTTTGCCACTCTTTTCATTTGTGAATTGCCCCAGCTGACAGACAGTTATGGCTATGAGCCACTTTGCTTGGATGGTAGGAAATGGAGGGCCAGGTCTACCTTCTCCTTCCTAACTAGAGTCCTTTCTCCTTGGTGGCTGGGAGGCAGGTTGGAGCAATTGTTGTGCTCCCCAGAAAGCCCTGTCATAGAAAGGACTTTGTAGCTCATCAGAAAGGTAAACAGGTGTCACATTAGTTAATGTGAAGTAATATGAAGGGCATATGATCCATTAGCAACTGTCTGTAGTTTTAAAGAACACCTCCCTAGGGCCAAATGTCACATGGTCTTGTATGGTGGCTGTTTAAGGCCTCCTATCCTGGCTGTTTTTTGACCAGATTAAGAACATGGGTTGCTTTAACCCTTTCCCCCAAGGCATCCTAATCAGGATCAAGCCTTCTTGTGCCTGATTTCCATTGGATCATAGCATGACCTAAGGCTTGAAGCTTAAACTGTGATCCCAATATGGCTCGGGTATCCACACACTGGCTATTCGTTAAACACACACGACCAAATAATGTTGCAGCTGGTTTGACTCTTAGCTTGGTGGTAATTAGAAGCCAGAGATGGCGACACAAGCCATTGTTATCAGAACCCAATCCAGCAAACATTATCCAGAAGCATTTAAGGACATGAACAAGTGTAAGACTATCATGTTATTCTTTGTTATACCTTATCCTAGGAATTCTCCTACATTCAAATCCTTTGAAGAAAAGGTTGAGACCACTGTCACAAGCCTTAAGGTATGGATTAGAATTGAGGGAAGGGTTATGACCAGACTAGCTAATTTTTGTGGTGTGTCACTGAAAATAACTGAAGCCAGAGTAGTCCAAACCTTATCCTAAAATGAACCCGTGATTGTTCCTACACTTCCAGGGAATTTTCTGTGCACATTTGTACATCATCAGTGCAGCAGAAACCAGTGTTCCCTTTAAGCCCTGTGTACCTAAGAAATAACTTCCTATTCTTTGTTCCATCATGAGCTTTAAGATCAGCAGAGCAGCTTCATGATTGTACCACGGCAACATGGTCAAAACCTATCATTGGTAGCTGTGTCACATTGTGAAGCCCTCTTCTCCTGAAGGGTCAAGCCAAAACTCATTCCAGAAGCACTAAGACTTTCCTGTTTGGGCTCATGTTTATCAGTCAAGGCTAAGGAGGCATAAAGGTAAAAGGACCCCTGACCGTTAGGTCCAGTCGTGGCCGACTCTGGGGTTGCGGCGCTCATCTCGCTTTATTGGCTGAGGGAGCCGGCGTACAGCATGACTAAGCTGCTTCTGGCAAACCAAAGCAGCGCATGGAAACGCCGTTTACCTTCCCGCTGGAGCGGTACCTATTTATCTACTTGCACTTTGACGTGCTTTCAAACTGCTATGTTGGCAGGAGCAGGGACTGAGCAACGGGAGCTCACCCCGTCACGGGGATTCGAACCGCTGACCTTCTGATCGGCAAGTCCTAGGCTCTGTGGTTTAACCCACAGCGCCACCCGTGTCCCTCTAAGGAGGCATAGATTAATCTAATTTCTATGAGTATATATACTTGGACCTCCCACACTTCTCAAAATAGTTTGTTCCCATATAATATAAGCATTGGCTTGGTAGTGCATGTTTGTTCTTTGTCAGTTGTGATTATTTATCTGTAAAAAGCTGTAAAACCAAACAATGATAAGACCACTAAGGAAGATGAAGGAATTTCCACAGCAGTCGCCATTTGCTAATAACCCACATTTTATGCTTACTAAAAATAAAGATTCTACTCAGGAAATATTTTTCCTAATTGAAAAGATTATTTTAAGCAAAATAACTTTTAAAAATTAAGCAGGCTTATAAAAGGTACTGGCTTGAGTTGAGAAGTTGAACATATTTAAGAGTAAGTGTCTGTGATCATGAAATGTCATCTGGCAGATAGGGGGACAAGATTAAATCTGATTAAATGTGACAAATATAGTGCAGATACAGCCTAAGAGAATAAAAAAAAATTGCCAACTTGGTCACCGCTAGCACTTGTGCCAAAGGCAAGATGGACTGCACTAAGTTCATGCTCTGAAATTCCCTTGCTTTTTCAATACAACTTGTCAAGCTGTCAAGAGTTCATCCGGCCTTTATCAGAATCAAATACTTAAATAGTGCAAAGCACCATAGTGTCATATAACAACTTTTATTTTATTTGAGCACCTAACCAACTAGCTTTGCTGTCTTCTCCCATGTTACTGATAACCAGCTGAATTCCAAACTGGCATGGCATTTAGTTTACTCCTAAACTGAGCGATTTCCCACATGTAAAGAATAATATAGATTTATTATGGTTTGAGTCAAATTACACAGAACAGAATGTATATTTGCAAGTTAACCTTGGGCAAATAGCTGCTGTTTCATATTCAACGTTTTATTTTAAGCTTGCCTCTTACCTTTTTTGTGGAAGTCAGTACATATCAATACATTATTCTCAATCTGGCACTGACTTCTAGCATCTAGTACAAAGGGAACCATTTTAAACATTCATTACCACCCTTGCCTTAGTTAACACTGTAGTTATAATCTGCTACCTTGAGAGCTGAGGAAACAAAAGACAACATGGAATTAACATTCTTTGCAACTGAGGTTACAGAGCCCCTTGAGTTATAATAGTCCTAAGCGTTTATTTGGCTTGAGAATGAAAAAGAAAATTGAGGCAAATTGTTTAGCAGAATGTTAGTTACTGACTGCCCTTGCTCATTCCTTTCAGACAAAAGTTGGAGGTGCGAGCCATACCGGAGGAAGTTTTGAGGAGGTTCTCAATTCTGCTGCCCATGCCAGTGCTCAGAGTTCCGCTGTGAGCACTCGACTCCCAGAAACAGAAGAGGAGCTTCAATGCTAGACTGAAGGGATGCTAATCATTCTCTCCATCCCATGTATTGGGTCCAATTCACACATGAAGCCCTGTTTATTTTTGCTTCAGGATTGAGTATGACTGTATGCTGAAACATTAGCGTAAAGCAGGCAGTACCCAGAGTGAACCACAGTGATTCTTGTGATAAGCCAGAAATGATTGCTATCTGTTGCCATATACTATCCAGTTAACTCTAAGCACTTCTTTGTGTGGTCACTTGCCTACATACATGATTGCATGGAAAAAAATAAGCGAGTCCTATTCTGGGGGAACAAGCTTGAAGTCTTAACTTCATAAATGCTTTTACACATCCAGCTACTATAAGAAAGTTGTGTCACTTTTGAAAATGGCTTCTACCAATGTTGTACTCTTAGAGATTTGTCCATATGTGTATATATGTTATATACTGAATTTTTGAACATTCTGTTCAAATAATATATTGCTTAAATGCTCACTTTTCAAATCTTATGGTTTCTCTTCCTTCTCCTACCTGCTTCTGTCTTCGGCTAGCTTTATTTTAAAGGTCAGCTATTTCATGAGACATGCCATTTTGTCCTGAGGCACCAGCCTACCCACCCACCACTGTTCCACAGAGACTGTTCTTCCCTTTTTATCTGTTTTCACTGCCACAGCAAAAGGACTTATGTTTCTAATAAATGGTTTGCTTTTCCTCTAGTTAAGGAGTCTGCAAACTTGATTTTTCAGCATCAAAAAGCATATATGGGTGTGAAAGAGTTGGAGGATTTATATATTAAGCAGCTCTTAGCTACTGTCTACAAAAAGTACAATGACACTTTTTGCTGACTTCCACAATAACAGGACAGCTGCATCCTTGAGGACTGTGTATGTGGGGAAAAACAGTGGCTGTGAGTGGAATGCCATTCACAGGATACCACTCTTGGAGGAACGGATGAAGAGGCAAAAATTACCCTTTTCCTGCTCTTTTAGGGGATTGGGAGACTTTCTGGAGCAGAGTGGGAGGTGGTGCTGGAAATCTCCCCACTACTTGGTGCAGGAAACCTTGCATGCACCTCAGGCCCGTGCACAAACAAGAGCCTAAGAGGAAAAAGTAAGCTAAATCAACTGGTTTCTTTGAACTACAGCATAAGTTAACTTTGTTCTTGACTTTCAAATTTTTGACAACTTTCAAATTTTACCCTAATTCTAGAATATCATGTAAGCTATATATTCTTCAAACTGCCACAATAGCTAAGCCTCTAGTATTATTTAAATTTGTATACCACCCTTCATCCAAAGATCTCAGGGCAGTTCGCAGCATAGTGAAAGGTAATGCTTAAACCAAATTCAGTGATTTCTGGTCTGAACTCTTGGGGCTTTTACTGGCTTTCACACCCAGGAACTGGACATTGGGGGAGGGGACGTCTAGTATTGGTTTGCCTCATTTACTAAAACCTCCTCCTTTTATTCTAGATTTGCTGTGTTTGATTCAATGGAGGGTGGACATTGCTGTAGGCTTTTTTGATTTGTACATGTTTCAATAAAGTAGACCCCATGAACAGCTACATCAAATCTTGATATTTTGGGTTTTCATGTCCAAGCTTGCTTGACTTTTTAGGAGGTGCAGTGAATATCTAGCAAGGCAGCACTGTCTTCTCACAAGGAGCTCTCTTTTAGCATGTACACTGAGCCTATCTCAGAAGCAACCATAGAAACCTTTTTGTATCCAATTTACACATATGAATATATAAAAAAATAAAAATTGTCTAGTAGCACATTAGAGACCAACTAAGTTTGCTTCTTCTTCAGATATGCACACTTCTTCAGATATGCACACGAAAGCTCATACCAAGAACAAACTTAGTGCTACTAGACAATTTTTAAAAATAATAATAATAAATTCTTATATATTTCTACTGTGTCAGACCAACACGGCTACTTACCTGAATTTACACATTTTACTGAACAGTGTGAAGGGCCCAGCTGACTCCTATAAAACTACTATCGACATCATATAGCCCTACTTTTTATTATTTTTCTATAATTATTTAGTAAACGAATAGTATTCCAGTGGTAGTATACTGCAAAACCAAACACGCAGTAGAGATTTTAAAATAATTTATTATAGATACAGCTGAAAACATTTGAAAGGTGACTCAAGATGGACGATCTTTGTTTGCTGCATCTATTTTTGTATTTCTTTCTGTATTTATGGAAGACACAAGCTGGACTATTTCAGGGTGACTAAATTTTCCTGTAGATCAAGAGATCACCGTTAACATGTTTTCTCATTCTGCTATGTACCAAGAATATAGCAGTGAGATAAAAGCACCTTCCTCAACAAGAAATGCTTGTTCTTGTTATGTTGGATAGCCTCTCATGTTTTATACTGAGCTGCTCTTACCCTATTATAGTTTTAGGAAGGGACATTTCAAAGTATGGAAAATTCCTGATGCTCATGCCCTGTGATTTCCTTAATCCTTGAAGCAGCAGGGCATCACCAGGTGGCAGCATGAAGCAGCAGTGTGTGACATTCTTCCTGCCTTTCAAAGCAGGATTTGGGGACCATCAATGGTTCAGGAAACTTGGGGGGTGTCATGTGAAAGTGTTAGGTAGGCTGAGCATTACCAAAAACCTATAAGAGAATCAAAAGCAGTTAGTGATTCTAATGTGGACCTGCACTCCAAGTGAGAAGGGGCAAGCTCACTATCTAAATGGACTCACCCCAAGTTTCATTCTATATCAATTTCTATCTAATCTGCTTTTTGATGGAGGACTTCCCCAGGAGTCATAACTGGGGGGAAATAATGGAACTTCCTAGTCATTGTTCTGGCTCACAGACACTTTCTGAGTTCATTGTGTTGATAAGGTCCCAAGGTGGTTCAGATGCTCAAATTATTCCTGCCTCTCCTGTAACACAAGCCTTGAAGCAGCTCAAATAAAACAATGGAATGCATCCAACTGCCATCATAGAAGTGGCACCTGCCAGTTCCCTGTGTGAGAGCGTCCATCACAAGGAGGAATTTCATCATTCCCAGAAGGACAAGGTGTAATTCAACCATAGCTGAAGTATACGTGCCCACCAAGTGAATAAGCCGGTGAAGCCAATACTAGTCAAAACCATATTATATTGGGGTGCTTTGCATGATTGTGATCTTCAAAGCAAGTGGCAAATGAAAGGGTGTTTGAGACCAAGGGCTTAGTATTGTTTTATACTGGATCTCTCTTCAAAACTTTTCTACCATTATAGTTATATACCATTATATATGTTAGGAGTGTGCACTGGCCTCTAAAATTTGCACTGCATCTCTATCTTTTTAAAAATTCCAGTCTGTTAACTCAGTCACTCTATGCTCTAAAAAGGACTCTTAACTCCCCGTCTCGAAAAAAGCAGTTGAAATGTACAGACAACAGGCAAGCCTCCAGGATAGACTATGTTTGCCACATTGCAGACAAACAGGTATAGAGGCTTTTCATTGGGGAAGCAAAAGGGATTTTATTTCCTCCACTGAACTGCAATTCTTCCCACAAAAAACCAGAACCCAGAGGTGCTCATCAGAATTAAAGAAAACCTTTATTAGGCCAGATAAAAGCCCAAAATTCCTAAGTAGAAAAATTTTGAGAGATGTAAGTAAGAGGAGGGCAACTGGCATGTGTTCTTCCTTGTATATTCTGTTTGTTAAGAACTCCACACCTTCCTTTCTGGTGCTTGTTTATGTCCTCCAATAAGGCCCTGCAATATGAGGCGGTTTAGTTCCCTGAAGAGCTGTGTTTATTTTCCCACTAAAGCAGAGCAATGTAGGATTTTTTTTTTTTTAAAAAAAGAAGCTTCTAACTTGTTTCTAAGAATCCTCCACTGCTGTGCTTTAATAGAAATAAAGTAAAACGTGGCGTTTTTCAGTGCTCTACAGGCAACATTTTGGCCGAGAGAAACAGAGATGCAGGAAAACACAGAGCTGCAATACTCAAAAACAAGGGTCCCCTTGAGGGAACCCTGATCCAACTTCAGGGGGGGGAGCATTGTGCTTCAATGCAGGGAGCGGAAAAGCATCCCAAATCACCCCACTTTGCCTCATTATTCAGCCCTCGATACAGAGTCACTGCACACCCCTAATATATATTAATAGCAAACTTGGGTGCTGACTTCAGGCAGCTATGTAGCCAAAACAGTGCTACTAGAAAAAAGAGCACCAAGGTTGAAAAGATTAGCGTGGGGGTGGGAATTAAGATGGCATGTCTGGCTGTTTGGAACACCATTTTCCATTTACTCTGCAAATGTTTGTTGCAGGTTCCATTATAAAAATAATACCAAGCTACACAATGAGTGTTTAGAAAAAAAGGAGGGGGATGTCTTACCTGCCGTTGTATCATAGAAGTCTTGAAGTCTTCCAGGTTTTTTCTCTAACTCTTCATACTCCAAGGCTTGAAGTATCATCTCACACTGGTCCAGCTCTTTTACAAATTTTGCTTCTGCAGTTGACTGGTGTTCATATTCCTAATAGGGGTGTGCAAGGTGGTAACCCACTTTACTGAGAAGGAAAAAATCACAGAAAATGCAACTGTATGCACTGCTGTACAAGGGAAGCAGTTCATTTCTGAGCCCCCTGGTCTAACCCATGTAAAGGATTTCTAGCCAAATATTGAGAACCAGCACTACATGTTCATGAGTCCAAAAGCAATTCTCATCAGTTGCTGCTGAAGAGAGCATCAACCAAACCAATACCTTGCCAACAGGTATCTCATAACACCTTAATAATGAAATGCATTCGCTGCAGAACACAGGAGTTTCCCACTGGTTAGACATGCTTGTCAAATACTTTCTTTTTCAAACCGGTTCTTGCTTTCTAATATGCCGGTTTCCTGTGGTGATCCATCCGCTTCCACTTTTGAGTTTTTACTGTTAAGCACACACCAGTTTCTACTTTGAAATCAAAACTACATGGTTACAACCATTTTTTCCTAACAACTGACACCCTGGATAGCTCAGTTGCTTAGAGTTTATCCTATGGCAGAAGTCAATGCAATAGTACAAAATATGTTAAGTCTCCTCTGGCAAACCTTACTCCAAACCACTCCCAAGTCCAATGCAGTTCAGTTGCATGACAGCCCCACTGGATTTAATAAAGACAGGCAGGCAGCAAACTCAGAAAGCTGATTGTCTCCCTAGTGCCCCCTGTAATATATCCATATTTAGCTTGGTAGCCTGCTTTACACCATGAATGCTTCCAAAAAACAGTCATTATTTAGATCTATATTTGATGTTTAGTAGAGAGAAATACCTATTTAGGGGAAAAATGAATTTTAATATTTAAGCAATTTTAGATGTTTAAAACTTACTTCCCAGAGTTCATAAATTTCTTTTCTCAGCTCTTCAGACAGCACCTGGGTCAAATGTTTCATAGCTTCCTAAAAAAACAGAATCCTGCATTTTATTTGGTGTCACTCCAAATATTGTTTCCCTGCTTTTGGCAGAGATGAGCTGCCCTCTTGCGCTCTCACACACCTTGGCAGTGAAAACCTGCAAGGATTGGCCAGATGGTCTTGGCGAATGTAAAAAGAATGTGAGCACATGCACGCACACACACCCAAACTTCCCTCCATAACGCAGTTCATCCCTCATCATCTTAAGTACTAAGCAAAAGAAGAAAATTATGCAAGCTATTAAGCAATCTGGTGCTTCCCACAAGAAAGCAAGTGAGATGTGTTTCAGAGCAATAATCTGGAAATCCAAGCACTATGCAGGATACCCTCTTGTCAGCTTCTTCCTGTGCAACTAAAGGAACATCAAAAGCTTCAGTTCTGTGGAAGAAGTTCCCATGTGAGCACTGCCTTTCCTGGAAACTGATGTAACTTAACACTGGTAGATGCATAAGCTACACAATGGAGCCCTCCCTTCCCACATAGACTCAAAGTTTTCTTGGCAATTTGGGATGGGATGCTGCAGCAGCTCCTACGCAACAACAAAGCTGATATGGGAAGAGCAGCATCAGATTTAGGGTGGTGCAGGTGGTTTCCCTGTACAGGGAGCAGAGCCGAGAGGGTGCAAAATTGAGAATATCCACTTATGGGTGCCAAATTCTGGCCTCACTCAGGAAGCCATATTACGAAAGATTTCCAAAGACCGCCCCTGGGAAAGAGTCCATAAGGTTGTTGGTTGCTAACCTGGACATCCTGACTGTCCCCTTTTCAGCCCAGGCTGGACACTCTTATGAAAGCCACATGCCAGTGGTTTGTATGGCCAAAGCCAAATGTGAATTTTATTTTTGCACAGTAGGCTGGTTTCTACGCCCATTCACAAACCCTTGCCTACGCACCATCCAGGCAAACAATAGGCATGATCAGAATTCAAGGGCACATTGCAGCCAGGCAAAAACACTCAAGTGTTTGGGGGAGAGGGAGCACGGCCAGGTAGGGGTGCCCTAGGAAAGAGGGCCAGTCAGGGAGGCCTGAAGAACTGCATTTGCCCCCTTCCCAGCCTGAATTCCCCCAGCCCTACTTTAAAAGCCCTGAAGCAGTGGGAGAGGAGGCAGCTACTACAGGCTCCTTGTTCATTCTCCAGTGCTCA